CCTTGTACTTGGGTTATTTGATTTATGGAGTCATTTCGGATCTCAGTACACATGATTCACTCCTTTCAGGGATGAACTCTGACTTTGAAGATCCCGTCTCTCACTGTCAGATAACTTTGTCGTGTTTGGCGGGGGGGGTCGTTAAAACCGTGCCGTATGCTCTGATGCTCCCGTTACGGAATCGCCTTTTGGGTCCAACTCTCTTTTAATTCTGTCAGTCACTTTTGCTGTGGTGACCTATACAGCATTACGTAAGCGTATTTGGCAAAATATTGTACATTGTAAAGAACCCACAAAGATAGAAGACTATGAACACCTGGATAAAGCAATTGTCGGATGACTGACGTACGTATTTCTCAACAAGTGGGAAAGAGAAAGAATCCCAACCCCCGGCTCACCGAACCAAACTTTTTTTTAACAAAGAAAAAAAACCTAAAGGTTCGGGATGACAAGCTTAATGCACACTAACGAGATATGCAGCCCCTCTAAAGATAGGACAACGCACATGAAAACCTACGCGCAAATGTACATATTACCGTATGCAATATTTATTTTGACGCATCGTTACTCGCTTTAACTTTCCTTCATCTTTCGATCCACCAGGCCATGTGGTACATCTTCGAACTGACCTATACGCGCCTAGAAGGATATCAAACACACATAAAAATGAAATTGATTAACGCTTATAATGAGCATGAGAGCATGTTTGTGTGTATAGACATATCAATAACGTATTCATATAAAATCGAGCTACAAAATTAAAGTAAAAGTAGACATGCCAAACAAAAGGTATTAAAATTTAATTGTCATTTTTTTACCGCTCTTCTATTATCCACTGTAGTTTAATTCGAAAGTGAGGTATAATTTAGTCCCATTGTTTAGCCTCTTGTTTATGAAATGAATAGCTGTCGAATTTTCTTGAAGGTTTTTGTTTTGTTTCGGTTGTTAGTTTTTTTGTGGATGTTATTGTTGTTGTTGTTGTTGTTGTTGTTGTTGTTGTTGTTGTTGTTGTTGTTGTTGCTGTTGTTATTGTTGTTGTTGTTATTGTTGTTGTTATTATTGTTGTTGTTGTTGTTGATGATGTTGTTGTTGTTGTTGCTGTTGTTGTTGTTGTTGTTTTTGCTGTTGCTGTTGCAGTTGTTGTTTTGTTGGGGTTTAGGGGGTACACTGATCTAGAACTTAAGAGAAGCATCGTTTGATTGTTTTTGTTCTTTGAAGCATTAGGGGTTTCTTATTTATTGTTTTGCTATTTGTTTGTTCGTTTGTTTGTTTGTTTGTTTGTTTGTTTTAAAAGGACGCTAGGAATTTTAGTTATGTACATTCCCTTTGAATGAGATGACGAACGCTTTTCAGATTAATTTTCTTCCTAAAATTTTACATTTTAACGAAAAATTTGCGATTATACTTCCCCACTTCAACAATTGTTTGGTTATAACGGTAAGCAATCTTTAAATTCTGATCAAGACAACAGACATCTCTTAGCAGACACTTATAAAATATAAGTGTAAGTGCGTGAAGGGGGGATGCATGTGGCGAAAAGCTTACTTTTCGAATAAGCTGTGCTTAAGTACTTGGGCTACTAAAGAATTGGGGAGAAATGCGCTTGCCCCCCTTTTATTTTTAAAAGTACAGGGTTTTTGTTTTTTTTAAACGGTATACTTTATTTGGTAAATATCTTCCTCCATACTGGAGTTTTGTGCTTCAGATTTGAACATAACATTTGGAAGCCAAAAGAAATTTGTCTGGTATTCGTTTTAGATAAGTCCAATGAATGGTTTTGCTCTATTTAGCGCATTTTAAAAAAAATCAATTTTCAACCTTGTCGCCATTTTCATAGCATGAGGCACCAGTTCGCATTAGGCCTTCCACTAAAAGTTGCAACAATATCGCGCCATACTGCAAGCTGCAGCAGTCTAACAAGTCAACAAAAGCCTGCAGATATTATTTTACCCAAATTCCGTTTGCCTACTGAGATCATGGTTACGTTTAGGAAAGAGCGGAGAGCTTTGTGTATTGAACATTACGTGCTCCCCACAAACTCTCACCATCCTTGACATTGCGTTAGTTTTGCGCTCGGCGTGGATAGAAAATACTTCGGTGCCCTCAAGACCTTTGGCGTCATGAGAAGAGAAGTTCCGTCAGTTTCGATCTATAGCGAATCTGAACTTAAAATGTCCTTTAGGTCGAACACGCACCATGCACAGCCCGTTAAACGTCAGGGTGCAAATTTCAGTAGTTGAGTCCCATGAAACGTCTGTCTGTAGACGATCTGCAGCAGATCGAAGGACATTCCTACACCTCAAAGTCTGCATTCTCATGGCAGATCTTAACCTACGACTGGACCATTTTCTTCTTAGTTCGGCAGAGATGACATGGATCAGAGCATGGCAATGTGTTCATGATTCCTCAATTGTCTTGAAAAGCGCGATCATTTCCTCATTGACATTCGGTTAGGTGCAAAAGCCCATTTTCACACAGTGGGATATGGAAACTCCAAAAACTGTCTATTGGGCACCCCCACTCCCTATTGTCCCTAGAAGCCCCTTCATACTGAAAATGAACAGTGTGTGTGTGCCTTTAAATACTCATGGTTTAGCAGGTCTTATTGTGTTTGGGCACCATTGAACATTTCGAACTTGTTAAAAATGTGTCCAAAGGAGAGCATCTAGAGCACTGCTTCTAGGAATTTCAGAAAGAAATCGTTAGTTTCTTCACACTTTGTAAAAGAAATTAAATATTGTTTTAATGTCACAGGGATGGAAAGTTAAATGTCATGAAAGAGAAATTTATTAAAAAGTCAAAAAATCTTTTCACGATTTCCTTAACAAGATTTTTAAAAATTGGCGAACTTTGCGTTTTTGGAAGCTTTTTTTATTTAAGACATTTCTGTTTTTAAAACAAGTTTCTTCTTCGTGAATTTTATGTCAAACAAATTTCTTTTGAATGAATTATGTCGGTTCCAAATTACAGCATTCTAGAACAATTTTTGTGCGGGATACTAAGAAAAAAAAGTTGTACAGTTTTTGTTATTTTTGTTGTTGTTTTTTTTTACCACGCTGTACATTCACTGAGAAAATAATATTCGTCCAAGCAAGACGACGATAGGCTATCAATACACACAGGCATGTGCCAAGTGTTTCCATGTTGCACCACGTTATATAATAAAGTGTTGCACTCTCTGACTCGTTGGGAACAATTTGCTGTGTCTGTTTACATTTATGTCTTATGCTAAGCTTCGTGTTCAGATAGAATTTAAGATCCTGGTATCCGGACAACCTCTTGGGCCTGTTCTTATAAAAAAATACTTTTAAAAAGCTTTAATACCTAATTATCTTTTCTTTCTGCGGCATGATCTTCTAAGATGCGTTATTGAAGTTTATTTGACGGTGGTTTGTAGTGTTTTTACTTGTTTGTTGTTGTTGTTGTTGTCGTCGCTGTTGTTGTTGTTGTGTGTCTGTGTGTGTATGTGTGTGTACACGTGTGTGTGTGTGTGTGTGTGTGTGTGTGTGTGTGTGTGTGTGTGTGTGTGTGTGTGTGTGTGTGTGTGTGTGTGGTAGCCTATCCGTTCGAAATGTCTGGAGCCCCAATTAAAGAGCGTGCTCTTCGCCAGGGCTACCGCCTCTCTTGGGTAGCGGGTGAGGCAGTCCAACCTCCCTGAATCCTCCCTAAAGAGATGTTGTTGTTATTGTTGTTGTTGCTGTTGTTGTTGTGGTTGTTTAAATTCTGTTTCAAGAAGAGAATCTATTATATTCAGAGGTTAAGACCTGTAGCAATGTTCTGGTCTATACACAGGCTACTAATACAATGCAAATGCTACGTTTTGCCACCCTTTTTTAAAATTCCTTTTTGGAATTTTACACTCTATATAAAAAGCCCAATTTATTATGTCCATAGACTGTTCTCTTGCTAGCAATGCGGAAAAAAATGCAAGTTGCGATATCAGGCTTTTCCTCGAACGAAAACTCTCACATTGCACGTCTTGTTTGCCTACTAGGGTGAAACATTTCACAGTGGGCTACTTGCAGGGGCGAAGGCTGACTTGTTTGACAGGGTAATCAAAGTGAAATGGGACCAGATAGGGCCTGTAGATATCACACAAGAATCTTACTCGAGGCGGCGACTCGGAGTTGTGAATGAAAACAAATCCGGAATTCATATTGTATGTTCAACCGCCAAAATAATCGGGAAAGTATCTTATTAAATATCAGTTCCCACTAAAATTAAACTTAACTTTAGATGTGAATACATAAACATAAAGCAAAGAAGCAGAGATGTCAGTACTAATCTAGATCTATATGTTATAGATCTACCAGTGAGTCTAACTCTTTGGTAGAACATGACAATTATTATTTTTTAAATTTCACATTTGGCTGTTTTTGTTAGCCTTTCGCGGCCAGGAGCTGGTGTCATAATCGAGGTCACGATCTGATTATAGGACGGTAAAAAGTCGAGGAAAAAAAACAAGCACAAGCAGCAGTCAAGAGATTATTAAGAGTTAGTTCCCCTCACATTTGTGAGGTAGACTCGACCAGTGTTAGTTAGCTTATTTAACCAGGGCTTGTGATTGATTTTAACTGTGGCCCCAAAGGGGTGAACAGGGTATATGTGGCAATGAAACAGCCTTGACTGCCATGCACATGTTCCCTTCAACTCTATTCCAGCCTCACTTTATTTGTTGATTACGAACGTCTTTTGACATTTAATTTATGAGGTTTACGTTTAAGGATGAATTTGACAGCGACAATGTTTCAAAATTAGAAAGGGAAGCAGTGATTATTTGATTATATAGACGCTTCGCCCCTGGCTACTTGTATTGAAAAGTAAAAATCAAGATCAAGGAATAGGATCTTTGAGAATCAGTCCGAACAGAGAAGGAGAACTCAAACCACTTTTCAATGTCAGTAATTTTATTAGGCATAGGGTAGCCTAGGCTATGGTTAGCCTATAATTTCAGTTTAGGCCAAGGCTTTGCAATGCATGCAATTTGACAAAGCTTCGCGGAAATAAGACCACGAAAGTGTCGCTGACGTCATACTGTCGAACCTGTTGAGGACTACTTTTTATGACGTAAATGAGGAAAAGGCGGTAGTATCATATTTTCCTTCTTTTTTTTTCTTTTCTGAAATTTTGTTTTTCATAATATTTGTATGAGATTGTTTATATGACAATGGCAGTTATAAAGAAGGTATGTCCGTAAATTTGGAATTCACACAACGTAATGTTGAGTGTAATGATATAGCACTTTTTTTAGATCTCAACGAAAGACAAAAAAGGGCCTCCAATTAGACGAGTTTTCAAAGCAAATGTGGGTAATTTGATCTTTAAATTGGCATATTTAGATGAGTTTTTGTATATAGTCTCTCCCTAAAGTTATTTAGGGCCGCTTTTTGTAAGACAGACTAGTTGCCAATCCAGGCGTAGGAATAAGTTCGCATGAATACTAAAAATACCAAAGTAATTTCCACAACCCAAAATAGATCTCTTCAACGATACATCCGTGCCTGCCTCTACATTTTACTGGACAGTAAAAATAGACAAGCTCGGATATTTTTATTCATCTCGTGGCTTTGTTTTGGTAAGATTGTTTAATAGTTTACCTATTTCCCACCAAAACACCTTAATTTTGTCATAATCCAAGAATAGTGGAATACTATGGCTTCGAGTCTTGGTTTAGGACGATCATCCACCGTTCCACCTCAGCCGGATCTGGGCCATTGCAAAGGTCCAATCGCTCCACTTCTCTTGCGTGGGGAAATCTTCCCTTCATCAGCCGGGAAACGACTTGCCCTAGAATTGGCGGCTGTTGGATTGGGTCTATTTTCGATCGTGAATCAGAACTGCCGGCTAATTTTACCACCCGTTGAGGAGATGTTGAAGTGATTTTTATTTTGTCCCTATCTCGAAACAACATAAACTACTGAACTGTCTCAAACTCTACCCGTAGACTGCCTTAGCCTAACCTACGTCCAAGTAACTTAGACCTCGATCTATCCTCGCAAGGTGCAGATCTACTTCAAGTTCGCCAGTTAGAATAATAATAGGCCTACCTCTGACTCTGTGCAGTCACTTTAAATACATGATCATGATTTCGAGGTCTTGTCTTTATTGAGATAGTCTAGATCTAGATTAGTAACCTAGGCTACTAGATCTACGTTATATAATGGAATGTATTTCGTAGCTCAGCCTACGTAGGCCTTTCTCAATTCAATATCTGTCATTTAAAAGATAGATCTAGTATAAACCTCTATTATGGTCTTGGTTGTGTGTTTCAGTTTCATCATCGTGATCAATTGGGGTGTGATCAATTTGTACATGCCCTGTTGTACAAGTTTAAAATTAGATCTAGATCTAGAATCTAGATATGGATATAGATCTAGATCTAGATTTAAATTAGATCAGCGCTTTTTTGGTAGATAGATCTATTCTAGATCTTTAGAAATCTAGATATATCTAGATCTAGATATAGATCTAGAATCTAGTTCCCACCCACCCTGCAATTGTTATAGGCGGGTTTTGGCCCTAAGAGTAGGGGGGTTTCAGGGGCCCCTGACTTAATAAAAATAAGGTGGGGGGTTGCAGGGGGCATGCCCCCTGATTTTACCATAATTTGATGATTTGCAGAACGTTAGGTTTGATATCTTAGTATCCTTAGCTTGCTGCGCATCAAACGTATACATCTAGATCTCTAGATCTAGAATCTAGATGTAGGTCTAGGCTCAAATAAGAGGGGGGGGGGGCTACCGAAAAAGCACCCATGGATCTAGACTAGGCCTTTAATGGGTATTTTTTTAGGCTGTTGTTAGGGGACCGTAGGCCCTACGCCCAAATAGCGAGTGGCACTAGGGGACCGTACGCCCCCATAGTGTTTGGCGCTAGGGGACCGTACGTCCTTCCTGCGCTAAGGCGTGGTGTTACGGGACCGTACACAGATATGCATGCATCTGGACTTTGCAAAAATACTGGAAGAAAACGGCCAGTTTAACGAAGCTCCTGACGTAAGGAGTTATTACTAGGAGAATGTTTAAAATATCTAAATACGATTGTGAGGTATCCAGTGGCCGTGAGTGGGTGAACCAGAATTTGAAATTTGCTCACGTCTGCACCCACGTTGTTGTTATGTGTGTCAATAAAATAAATCAAAGAGAGGGAGGGGGAGAGAGAGAGGTAGAGGTGGAAAGAGTTGGCGAAGGGAATGTGGGGGCGAACGATGGGGTCGGCAGGGTATAATTATGCTATTAGATTGAGAAGAGGTCATTAATCATGTAACGCCTTGCGTGGAATGTGAGTTAAGAGTACAAATTAAATTCATAGTATACCAACTTACGCCTATAGTGCGGTCAAAAATGCACGGCGCAACTTGCACAGTGACTATATCAATTTGTCTTAACAGGTGAATATTTTTTCAAACTCCTGCACACTGTATTCTAGAAAATTCCTTAATAAGTTAATAAAAAATCCCAGTCGATTGTTTCTACAAATTTAAACAAATTTACAGCTCCGGCAATATCGCTATTTTGCCTTTTAAAAGCAAGTCTGTCATTTTTTTTACAATCGCAATAGCATGCATGCTTATTAAATGTATTGAGCTATTGAGTGCCTATGCGGGTACAAATTTTCCTTTTCGCTCGGGTTTGAAAATTTCAAAGTTCAAAATACACGTTTGTTGTATAACTTTTTTATTTATTGACGGATTTTAAAAAATTTTTCCTGTTCTGTTCTTGTTGAGTCCAGTGCTTTTCATTTACAATAGTTTCAGCTACTTCAAGGTACACTGAAAAATCCCATTTGAATACCTATGTCATGTCTGTGCTTAGTTCACTACCCGACGTTCTGTCAAGTCTCTACAATAGTTTGTTTTGCTTTCCATCTACCTTTTCCAAGCTGTCTTCTTTTTCCTTTCTTTTCATGTTATTGTTATTGTCACTGAATGTGAGTTGATCTTGCGTCTTGTGTTCTCTCATGCAAAAGTGAGTAAATTTATATCCGGCGTTTTCGAGCGTCATTAAATGGAGCTAAGGGGCCTATTTATTTTAGGTCGCAAAGCCTGAGCACACACACTATTATCCTTCTGATTTTTGTCCAAAACATTCCCTTTGTGTAAATTTGTTCATCTCTCTCTTTCTCTCACAA